AAAGCCTTCTGCTGTTCATGGAGGTCCCAGCGGTTTATAAAACTGCCCTCCAGTTCCACCGTGTTCCAGCCATTCTGTTCAGTGATTGTCTCTGCAGTGTCGCCAACATGCGCAGTTTTTATAATCACCTTGCAGAATTGCTACCTGCGACAGAACCATCTGTCTGCTTGGATTTTTACTGCATTCGTCTGTTTGTCTCCCGTTCGTATGAATGGCTGGTTTCTATAGCCCAGCCATTCGAATGACTCTTTTTTCCCAAACAAACCTGCCGAACGAACGGCCACCCAAGAGAGGAGTGTGCTGCTGGTTAACGTAGTGATCTCAATTAGAACGTTGTGGTTAACCGCAGACACTTCTCAATTAAACCGAATTCAGGGTGGTCGTCGTTCGTATGTCGACCACGAGGCAGCGGCCATTTTAAATCAATCTATGGAACTAAAAACGGACACTTTTTCTGCCGAACACCGCTGAAACAACGGAACGCCTAGCTGCCTCCACGAAAGCATGCGAACACCGGCCGTTCGGGAGATTTAGAGCATACGAAAAGACTTAACCCAGATAGCCTTCCCATGGAGTCATTCGTATACCGAAAGACTGTAAGAACTTTGACTCCATGGCGATTGAACTATGTGTGTGGGATCTGAGCGCTATTCGCTAATAATATGCACTCAGATCCAGGCTATCTGGGGATGGGTGATACAAATGGGAAATGTTCGGTTTTCGTGTAGTTATATATTTTTATGTCTTTTATTATTTTATGTCTAAGATGGCGACTGGCTTTGTCCTGGAGTTAATTGAGTTACTTGGTCATTAACTTCAGGGCAGAGGGGAGGGAATCATAATGCACTGTGGGTAAAATCTGTGACTGTGTGTCTGGAATGTCCCCATATCTGTCTGTCATTTAAGTCTCCCATTTGGTCCCCTAGGGGAGTGTCCACCAGGTGGGAGACCTGCATAAATACGGGCAGGTAGCCCACAGTAAAGCCAGATCCTGTTTGACCCTCAATGCGGAGCTTCTGTCTCGTTATTGGGGGGGATTTCTTCTTCACGTTTAGGGACTGCTGGATGGAACGGAAGCCGCTTGGTGAATATTGCTGTTCGACGGTTGCCAGCAGTTCGTGTATTGCCGTTCGGGAGTTTGGAGCCGTTCACGGATCTCGTTCAGGAGACTGCCGCTTCCCCTGCATTTGGTTCGTGTATTACAGATTAAGCGAACAGAGACTGTACTGCAGCCGGGGAAGGTCTACTAAACGGCGGTTTTGCCTAAAGACACTGGAGGTGTCTTAACACTACCTGTAGGAGAACTCCCCTGCTCGGCATCGCTGAGAACTAATAAAGGGGGGAGAAGGGCGTTTCTTAAAAAAAAAAAAAAAATGATCAGCTCGAAATGTTATACCTTAATGTATCTAACAAGAACACTGGCTCTTTATGTATATGTGTAATATAGATTTACTACAGTCTCAGATAGAGAGACCTAAACTGTAGCAGGATCTTCTGTGATTTCTCAATATTTAGTAAAGAACAGACACCAACCAAAACCACGACATTATAACACTAAAACCCGTTCCTCGCAAGCAATGTTCATCGATGATGGAATGCACTGTGACTGTATAATGTAATGTTTATTATATATATTATGTATCTACTGGTAATATTTCTGATAGCCCACTTGTTCTTGAGAGTTGGGTAAAAATAAAGAAATTAAAATATATGTATTTAGTGAAGACACGTCACATATAAAGTATGTGAGTGAACGGAGACCTGGGCCAGCAGGAGTAACCGTGTATTCACACCTGGAATAAAACATCGAGAGCCAGCAATCTGGTCACACGAGGGACGTGTTCCGAAATAGAACATCCAGAAAGGACTTCAAACGTTACATATTTAATGCCATTAGCGAAGAGACATCCAGTAATAATTAAAAGCAACTAGAAAAGCTACAATTTCTGGGGAAATTGTGTGAAGTGTTCTTGCCTCCACCAGTAGTCTACAACTGGAGTGGGCGGAGTAACTGTTATCATTTACATAGCACATTTAATTGCAACGTTGTTGCACAGTTACATTAAACCATACATTTATAAAAACATTAGCATGTGTTCAAAAGGCCCTGTCTATGACATCACTTGCTGCTGCAGCCTTGACAGGTCAGAGTATTTTGGTGGTTGCCATCTTCAAACGGTCGTATCTTAAAAACTATAACTCCTACAGTGAAGAGCTTTATATTGTGAGAATCACAGGACCCAGACCTACATTTTTGATGCATAGTATGTCTCTGAAGTATTAAAATTGAAGGCACAGTCGCAGTTTAGAAATTGCACTTCAAATTTGAGCTTTGCAGAGTGAAGTTTCAATGAAAGTCAATGGACGGCGTTAGTTGCAAACAAATGATTACATTGTGAAAACTATCAGGACTACGGCTTAGCCGTTGACATGTTTAGTGGCAGCAGGGATAGCTGAACGTTTTGATATAAGATTTGTGTAGGTGGGCCTGAAAATAAGGGAGTGGTGACAGTTTAGAAATCATGTCCTGATTTTTCAGCTTTTGGCAGCTCCCACTCTAGCTTTGCCATTCATTCCTATAGGACAAATTGCGCCACAAGAACGACGATATTCCGTGAACCATTCGGCGAAACGTTCCACAAAGTAATAGCAATCCGATCGGGAACAATCTGCACGTTTTGGTAAATTTTGGTCTATGTAGTGTAAAAACTGTGGGAGGAGTTAGGGTGGCAAATTTGGCTATAATAAGAATAATATATATGTGAGATAACAATAAGTGTTCTTGCAAGAACACTTAATAAGAATAAGAACAAGAAAGGCTACAATTTCTGGGGAAATTGTGTGAAGTGTTCTTGCCTCCACCAGTAGTCTACAGCTGGAGTGGGCGACGTAACTGTTATCATTTATATAACACATTTAATTGCAACGTTGTTGCACAGTTACATTAAACCATACATTTATAAAACATTAGCAGGTGTTCAAAAGGCCCTGTCTATGACATCACTTGCTGCTGCAGCCTGACACAGGTCAGAGTATTTTGGCGGTTGCCATATTCAAAACGGTCGTATTTTAAAAAAATATAAAAAATATAAAAATAGCAATCCGATCGGGAACAATCTGCACGTTTTGGTAAATTTTGGTCTATGTAGTGTAAAAACTGTGGGAGGAGTTAGGGTGGCAAATTTGGCTATAATAAGAATAATATATATGTGAGATAACAATAAGTGGTCTTGCTATGCAAGAACACTAAACTACAGGGAAAAGTACAATTAAAAGGTTTGGGGGTAACACAGGGCTAGGGGGTGCTCCTACACGTTAGCCTTGTGCACAAACTCCAAGTCATGGCTAGTCTTTACAGCATTGGCTTCAATGGTGATCACCCCGGCGGCGGGACTGAGACTGGTGTCACAGGAGAAGGAAAGGGCTATTATCATGAAATAAATTAAAATCTGAGAACGAGGAGAGAAGAATTCGATACATCTCACAGGAAGAAAACTATGTATCAAGGTATCCACTGGTAAAGGAATAGTCCTCAAGGGACAGACCTACAGTGGATTCCAAAGGACACCTATTTGGACACTCCAGGGGTGTCCTGGGGCCTAACCCCTAAATGAATAGAAAAGAAATTTAAGCTAATTCACTGGAAAACCAGTGAGTAAATTTATACTGGAATAATATAATAGTAAGATATTAATAATTTATACGCTGATGTGTACAGCAGAGTCTAATTCCAAATAGGAGAATCATTACAAAGTGAAGAATAAGTGTGAAAACAGCCTGTTAGGCAAAACCTCCCTTGTACTCATAAGTGACTGTAATATGCTGAAGACTACTGACTTTATATTTATTTGGTCAAAGTCAAATGGTAATAAAGAGTATATGTATCCAATAAGTCACAGGAGAAAAGTACCTAATTCCAAACACACTGCCTATTAGTATCAGAATTGATTCACAATATAGATACAGTTGCTAACAAAGAGAGTATCAAGGTTAACATATGTTGCTAAATAGCTTGTGAGAGCCCTGTGCTCACTGAGATTGCTATAATAGCAATACCTAAATGATGGAGCTAAAAAGGAGACTCTCAAAACGATATGTAAAAAACTTATAAAGACTGTAGTAATGATTAAATCTAATACTCCAAAGTCTAAATAAATAAATGGAATTAGGACAAAGAAGGGAGGTTAGAAAGATATAGATGTGCTAATGTGCAGAACCATACTTAGGATGTTGGTTGCCTGCACATAGTGAGAGTGCCCTGTGAAGTAGTGAAGAAAAGTGAAATACGAAAAACCCATAAATTATTAATATCTCACAGGAAGAGACTGAACACGTTATAGTTTAGAAGTGACAGTGTGTTCCTGTGACAGGCAGCGGCTGATAAAGGACCATCGATGGGTAATACAGATATACAAAGATAAGGCCTGCGCACAAACTCACACTACTCCTAGGCAGCAGCAATGACTATAGAACACATCAGCCTCAATACATACAGAAAAAAAAACAAGGAAAGAGTTACTTGCGCCGCGTGCTAGCCCAAATACCTGTGTAAATTTAAAAAATTGGAGGTTTTTAGTTTGACTCCATGACAGGTGGCGGCTGGTAAAGGACCATCGATGGTTAATGTCTGGAGAGGACGGTGCAGACACTATGTACATAACAAAATCTGCAATGAGCGATAGGCTGAGTGATTTATGTTTGACAAAGCAGCTGTGTGGATACGGAACAAGCTGGAAAAACAATGTAAGAACATTGGGTAGAGAAGTCAGCCAGTGTTAATGAAGGTGAAGTGACAAAGGATGAGAGATCGGGTACTATATCTAGGATGACGACAAGAAAGAGGACAGAGGGATTTGGGCCCTAAATAGGGACTGTCCCTCCTAAATAGGGACACTTGGGAGGTATGTGAAGGGATGAAGAGACGGAGTACCAGAAAACAGGATTTAAAGAAACGCTGTAAAATACTGTAATGCAAATAACAGGGATAGATTTATTGAAAATTAATACAAAACACCTTGTGTTCTGTAGGTGGAAAGAAGGGGAAAGTCTTGTAGACCCCCTGGTTCCATGATTGGGGATAGGTCTTGTAGACCCTCTGGTTCCATGATTGGGGAAAGGTCTTGTAGACCCCCTGGTTCCATGATTGGGGATAGGTCTTGTAGACCCCCTGGTTCCATGATTGGGGATAGGTCTTGTAGACCCCCTGGTTCCATGATTGGGGATAGGTCTTGTAGACCCTCTGGTTCCATGATTGGGGAAAGGTCTTGTAGACCCTCTGGTTCCATGATTGGGGATAGGTCTTGTAGACCCTCTGGTTCCATGATTGGGGATAGGTCTTGTAGACCCTCTGGTTCCATGATTGGGGATAGGTCTTGTAGACCCTCTGGTTCCATGATTGGGGATAGGTCTTGTAGACCCTCTGGTTCCATGATTGGGGATAGGTCTTGCAGACCCGCTGGTTCCATGATTGGGGATAGGTCTTGCAGACCCGCTGGTTCCATGATTGGGGATAGGTCTTGCAGACCCGCTGGTTCCATGATTGGGGATAGGTCTTGCAGACATTCTGGTTTCATGTAGGTCTTGTAGTCCCTGTGGTTCCATGATTGGGGGTAGGTGTGATCAGGGCTATCAGGGGATGCAACATTTGTGGGGATACTATGTGTTTTGGGGTACTTTTGAGAAATGTGTGTTTTTTTTGTGTTTGGAGATAATGGAGTTTAGTATAGTGCATGACTATCTCCTAATTAAAGGGGAAGGCTTATTGTATTGTATGTGGGAGTGTCATACATTGTAAACATGTGATCATTGGTTTGTAAGTTTGTGTCCCTGTCCCCAACAAGGTACATGTGGGTGTACACCTTGCTTGGGGATTGTCATAAAAGGCCAGTGTAGCACCATTAAAATTCAGTTCCTGCTTAACCTTCAACACGTAGGCTGGTCTCGTGATTGTAGGGAACCTGCTATACAGCTATACCACTAGTTCTTATAAGAGCTTCACAGCTAAACTCTGTTGGAGGAGAGGTCTTCCCACTGAGTCCCTGGATCCAGGAGTTTGGTCCAGGATGGGAAGGAACAACGAGACCCCAACCAAGCTGCGGCGGTTGTTTAGTGGGGTCTACAGTGCTTATGGTCCTCAGCGTCAGCTAGGAAGCATCGACTGGCGGAGGTACCCAGTCAGGTGCCAGATGGTCCGTCACAGTAGCTCTTATAGACCCTCTGGTTCCGTGATTGAGGGTAGGTCGTATAGTCCGCAACACAGAGCTCTGGAAAATGATGGTGTGTAAGAAAAATATAATTTTGAAAAATGCCTGGACTCTTGATATGTTAATTGCCAAAGGTTATGAGAATTTACAATCCTGTTCTCCAGGAAACGACCAATACACATAAATAACGTTCATTATGCAGAACACATATGGCTGTAACATGCGCCATATGTTAATCTCCAGCAAACACATGGGAAGAGAATGTGCAGCTGTGTTTTGCTCCCACGAGTGACATTCCTGACATATGTTTTACTTACATTATCAGCAATGCATGAACACATTCTCTCTCTCTCAAGGTTCAAAGAAACATTGGACATCTCAAGACTGCTCATTTTCACATATTTTATTAACATTTGACTATTTTAATCAGATCTATAAAAATGCATTAATATAAAAACATATTGAGCAGGAAATTAATTCCAGACAATTTTCACTTTAGTGATAAAGCCGATTAGTTTGCTCCTCGATATAAAACAATAAGATTTCGTTACCCTCCAACCGCGAATTCTACTAAGACAGCGCCGAATGTGCTTGGGGATCCCCAGTTTGTAATATCACGAAAGCCAAAATTCTTATTAACCCCAAGAATACTTGTTGCTTAACTGGAATTCTGTTCAGAAATTCTCTGTAATTTGGCCATGAGACAAGCCATTTCCTGTGGTTATTAATAAATATACAAATGAAATAAGCAAAGAATGTGCAAGATTTACATTTAATGTTTCAGTGAGGAAAGCATGGACGCAACACGACCTTCAGGCTATTTTCATGTCAAGTTTTAGAGAGAGCGTTATTGTGGTATAAACTACGCTGGACTACACCTTATTGTCCTCTTTTCCCAAGAATAGCACTTTTTGTCAGATCCCCTAATTGAAACACAAAAATCTACTCTAAATAAAGAGAAAATGACTAATTTATTATAGTTTATTTTAGATTAACAGAAACCACATGACATATACCCCAGGCAAGAATACAAAAAAAGGACTTTCAATGTCAATATACATATTAGTGAGCACGAGGGGGAGAGGATAATAAGCGGCCAGGTTAATTTGGCTTCCAGTTTATTGACTTGACCCTGGAAGGACACCATAGTTACCCAGACCCCTCTCTCCTCCTTGAAATGACCTGGGTACTGTGTACCTGTCCCCTGAATACTGCAATGTAAAACGCTGTTTGAGAGAAACAGCATAGTTTATATTGCAGGGTTTTAACCCCTCCTCTAATGGCTGTCATTCTGATTACCAGGCAGACAGAGTAAAACTTGGTGATGTGACATGGAAGCACCAAATGAAAGTATTAATTCAATGGTTGCCTGTGGGAAAGTTTAAATGTGCGCATGGAACTCGCCATGCATTAGGTCCCCAACGCTCCTCTATGAGAAACATTGGATTGGAAGAGCACAGAGGAGCCCATTCCTGCAGATTTTTATTAGAAGCGGATCGCCTCTCTGTCTCCTGTTTGCTGGGAGAGTACAGCAATAGACTGGCATCACTCCACTCGGACTCCAATATGGCAGCCTCGTGGCAGAGCATCGCTCACAGGGCAATTCGCATAGAAAGGGGAACAAGGTAGGACCAGAGGGTGCGTGTTAAACCCACAGATCCACTAGAACATTAGAGAGGAGTTTAGTAAATATCCAATTTATCAACCTGCCTCACATTTAATACTTTTTATTTATTACCGCTCTCATACAAAACGCTGCTTCGTCTAATACCCACATATTTCCAGTGTTCCTCTAAATGTTCCAACTCGCACTCATACTTGGTTCTAGCTGAGCGTTAATACAATTTACACGATTGTATTCCACGCTGCATATAAAACGGTCTCATAAAATGCTTTCTTTCAAACCTTCAATAAACAGATTTTACACTTTTTTATGACATGATATAGTAATTGCTTTGGGATCAGTCGTACATTAAGGTAACTATGTACCGAGGTTGGTCGGAGGGAAGGGGTTAAAGCGAGAAGAAGTAGAATATGATAATGTGTCATTTAACCCCTTAAGGACACATGACATGTCACGATTCCCTTTTATTCCAGAAGTTTGGTCCTTAAGGGGTTAATGTAAGTGCAGTCTACCATCAGCTATAGGAAAAGCCCATCTCATTCTCCTGACAGCTGGATTCATGTTTTACATTAGTGAAGGAGGGAACATAGCGTGCCATCATTTAATAATAGGAAACCTCCCTCCGCAGATTAGTCTTCATTAGTTAAATCCCTCCGATGTGAGACCCAGTTCCTTCCCAGCTGCCCTGCGGTCACTGAACGCCCCAAATTTATCATCACAACATTATCCAACGTCTTGTCTCCCAACACAGCGTTTTTCTGAGTTATCTGTCCGTGCAGACAGGCAGACAGACAGACAGACACACAGGCAGGCAGACAGGCAGGCAGACAGACACACAGGCAGGCAGACAGGCAGGCAGACAGACAGACACACAGGCAGGCAGACAGGTAGACAGACAGGTAGACAGACAGGTAGACAGGCAGACAGACACACAGACAGGCAGGCAGACAGGCAGACAGACAGATAGACAGACAGGCAGACTGACTTACATAGCGGTTACAGAGTGATGAAATGTACATGGAGAGAATTATTATAAACCATGGCACCGAAGGACAAGTCTCCAGAACCGTCATTTTCCCCAAACACGCTTTCTGTTATGTAGCTTTCAATGATTAAGGAAACAGCAGGCCAAACATATCCCAGGCCGGCCAAGATTAGTGAGAGTTACACTCCCAGACCGCAGCTGCTTCCTTATTAAGCTCTTCTTCGGAGATATTCCTGGAGAGGAGAACTGTGCCGTCTATCTCCCCACTCCCAGGAGTAACTCTCACAAATCTCAGACAGGCTGGAGAGGAGAACTGTGCCGTCTATCTCCCCACTCCCAGGAGTAACTCTCACTAATCTCAGACAGGCTGGAGAGGAGAACTGTGCCGTCTATCTCCCCACTCCCAGGAGTAACTCTCACAAATCTCAGACAGGCTGGAGAGGAGAACTGTGCCGTCTATCTCCCCACTCCCAGGAGTAACTCTCACTAATCTCAGACAGGCTGGAGAGGAGAACTGTGCCGTCTATCTCCCCACTCCCAGGAGTAACTCTCACAAATCTCAGACAGGCTGGAGAGGAGAACTGTGCCGTCTATCTCCCCACTCCCAGAGTAACTCTCACAAATCTCAGACAGGCTGGAAGGAGAACTGTGCCGTCTATCTCACCACGCCCCGGAATAACTCTCACCAATCTCAGACTGGCTGGAGAGGAGAACTGTGCCGTCTATCTCCCCACTCCCAGGAGTAACTCTCACAAATCTCAGACAGGCTGGAGAGGAGAACTGTGCCGTCTATCTCCCCACTCCCAGGAGTAACTCTCACAAATCTCAGACAGGCTGGAGAGGAGAACTGTGCCGTCTATCTCCCCACTCCCAGGAGTGACTCTCACAAATCTCAGACAGGCTGGAGAGGAGAACTGTGCCGTCTGTCTCACTAATCTCAGACAGGCTGGAGAGGAGAACTGTGCCGTCTATCTCCCCACTCCCAGGAGTGACTCTCACTAATCTCAGACAGGCTGGAGAGGTGAACTGTGCCGTCTATCTCCCCACTCCCAGGAGTAACTCTCACAAATCTCAGACAGGCTGGAGAGGAGAACTGTGCCGTCTATCTCCCCACTCCCAGGAGTAACTCTCACTAATCTCAGACAGGCTGGAGAGGAGAACTGTGCCGTCTATCTCCCCACTCCCAGGAGTAACTCTCACTAATCTCAGACAGGCTGGAGAGGAGAACTGTGCCGTCTATCTCCCCACTCCCAGGAGTGACTCTCACAAATCTCAGACAGGCTGGAGAGAGAACTGTGCCCGTCTATCTCCCCCCACTCCCAGGGGCTCTCACAAATCTCAGACAGGCTGGAGAGGGAGAACTGTGCGTCTATCTCTCCCCCACTCCCAGGAGTAACTCTCACAAATCTCAGACAGGCTGGAAGGGAGGAGAACTGTGCCGTCTATCTCCCCCACTCCCAGGGTGACTCTCACTAATCTCAGACAGGCTGGAGAGGGAGAACTGTACGTCTATCTCCCCCACTCCCAGAGTGACTCTCTCTGCAAATCTCAGACAGGCTGGAGGAGAACTGTGCCGTCTATCTCCCCTCCCAGGAGTGACTCTCACACTAATCTCAGACAGGCTGGAGAGAGAACTGTACTTGCGTCTATCTCCCCACTCCCAGGAGTGACTCTCACTAATCTCAGACAGGCTGGAGGGAGAACTGTGCCGTCTATCTCCCCACT